AAGGAAGAAGGAAGGAAGGAAGGAAGGAAGGAAGGAAGGAAGGAAGGAAGGAAGGAAGGAAGGAAGGAAGGAAGGAAGGAAGGAAAGAGGAGGGAGGGAAGAAAGAAAAACGAAGGAAGGAATCGAGATAGGAACACTTTCCAGGTGACAGATTTCTCTCCTGTATGGGATACAGGGAGAATCAGAACCACCAATAAGGTCATGTTGTAGGGAAAAAGATTTTAATGACCCCGATAATGGTGGGTTTGCCCAGCTTTTAGAACTGCTCTTAGGAGCTAGGGCCACCTGGACCGGTGACCTTCAGGTCACTTGTTGCTTTGGGAGACAAACACCACTCTGGAGATTTTTCAGCTCAGGGTGGTTCTTTGACTTTGCTTTGCTGGCTGTCCTTTGGCATGGTTTGGAGGTTGAGGGTCGCCAAGGCAACAGGTAAGAGCTGGACTGCCAAGCTTAGAGTGCAGAGCCCAGGATCAGAAAAACCTCAGGGGGCTAGGTAGGTAGAAAAGAGGGCTCACAAAGTAAGTCCTCTACCTTCTCACCCACCCCCCAGAATCCAAGACCAAAAAGAGGAGGAGAATGATTCGATTTAGCTTGCTACACAAACACATAGACTATCTGCAGGGTTTTGGATGAAATTCTCTGGTGATGAAACAGGATCCAAGAATGGGGCTTCTGTCTGCAGCTGGCTGAGCCTGGGGTGCTGTTGTTTGGATTCTGGAGGAAAATAAAATGTTGCTACTTCAGTGTGCTGGAAAGTTGGATGTGTGTGTGTGTGTGTGTGTGTGTGTGAGAGAGAGAGAGAGAGAGAGAGAGAGAGAGAATATATAGACACAATGAAGAATCATTTATTTTTTTCAGTGGGCATTAGAAGTCCTATGAGTGAATGAAACCCCAATAATATGAGGAAAATGTCCTAAACGAGCATGTCATGTGTGAGATTGCTAATCAGGAGGTGAAGACCAAAATACAGATGACCTCCAGGCAGTCCTGGATAGCTCCTAAGTGACATAGAACTCTTAAATTGAGACTCAAAGCAGGTGGTACAGGGAAAGAAATGAGATGCTTTAAGTATAATAACCTGGGTTTAGGTTATTTAACAATTGGTGCTGTGAATTAAATATCTGATTCTTCCCCTCTCCTGATCACATAGAAAATAGTGACTTCTTAAGTCAAAATAGCTGGTAATAATGCTCATTTCTAAATCATTCCACAATGGATGGCTATGTAAGTTGAAGGTAGAACAAGCTCAGAAAAGATTCAGAGCTTTCCCAGAGCATTATAAGAAGCAGCTCTAAAGTGGCTCCTGCCTGTAATCCTAGCTACTCAGGAAGCTGAGATCTGAGGATGGAGGTTCAAAGCCAGCCCAGGTAGGAAAGTCGTGAGACTCTTATCTCCAATAATCACTAGGAAACTGGAAGTGGCACTGTGGCTCAAGCAGTAGAGCACTCACCTTGAGCTGAATAGCTCAGGGATAGCGCCCAAGCCCAGAGTTCAAGCCCCATGACTGATTAAAAAAAATACTGGAATGCTGAGGGAAAACACAAAGCAATATGTTGTTCTCCAGTGTTTTTCAGTTATTCTGTTACTGGATTTGGGCTCATTTCTGGTCAGTCTTTAATAATTGCTTAAATGTTCAAGAAGCTCAAGGAATCTATGTTGCTTGTAAGAGAGACTTCATAAAAATCACAACTAATCAAACCAACTGAGTTCACAGCCCCTTACAGCTGTGTAAGATCTAACCCTCACTGTACATATGTTAATGAGCACTTAATTCATCAGTGTTTTAATTGTGCATTTTTGTACAATCCCAATTTTGAGCTAAGGATTATAAAAATTAAGCTTAGGAGATAGTGGCTCACACTTGTAATCCCTGTTACACTGAAGGCTGAGATCTGAGGACTGCAGTTCAAAGCCAGCCTGGGCAGGAAAGTCTGGGAGATGCTTAACTCCAACTAACTAGCAAAAAGTCGTAAGTGGAACTATGGCTTAACTAGTAGAGCATCAACTTTGAATGAAAAAGCTAGGAGAGCACCTAAGCCCTGTGTTTAAACGGTAGTACTGACAGCAAAAGTAATTAATTAATTGCTCCAAGTTCATGAGTGTGTGTACATATATATATATATATATATATATATATATATCAGTTTCTTAGAGATGAGGATACTGAGTTCAGTCTATAGCAATGAAAATGCTATAAAAATATATAACTAAGTAAAAATGTTTAGGTAGCATTATGATTTTTCTCTGAGATCAAGGCATTTTGAGTTTATTGCTAAGTGCTTACATGGAATTGGAGCACCTAATATGTCTTCCTTTTTTGGACAAAAACAGATTAATAATAAAGAATTAATCTTTCAAGTCATTGAATTATCCTTTCTTTTGGTGTCAGTTCTGAGGCTTGAACTCAAGGTCTTGAGGCTGTCCCTGAGCTTTTTTTTTTTTTTTTTTTTGCTTAAGGCTAGCACTCTACCACTTGAGCCACAATTCCATTTCTTCTTAATTGGAGATGCAAGTCTCACAGACTTTTCTGCCCAGGCTGGCTCAAATTGAGATCCTCATATTTCAGCCATTTGAGTAGCTAGGATTACAAGTGTGAGCCTGAGTTATCATTTTTGTATGAACATGGTTTGTAGACACCTTAAAAATGGCCTAAAGAATACACTTTAGACATGTGCATGTACACATTTTTCCCTTGAGACTTGCAAGCCTGAAAAAGAGTAATTAAACCACAATACATTCAATGAATAGACCCACCCAACAAAGAAGATATGAGATGGTCATTTCACCCTCCAGTACATCCTCACTCCTGTGAGAAATGGTCAACTTCTACGTTTAACACCTTGTCTCACGTACTTTAAGTCAGTGTACATTACCCTTTGTCATATCTACTCCAAAAATCAATTAATTGGTGATTCTCCTCAAAGACCAAAGTCTCAGCAAGCATATGTTTTCTTTCATTCACAAGTGTCAATATTTTGGAAATACTGGAGACTTTTTGGGGAAGGGCTTAATATTTTCTTTCTTCCTATTCTTCCCTTCCTGCCTCTTCCCTCCCTCCCTTCCTCTATTCTCCTTCTTTCTTTCTTTCTTTCTTTCTTTCTTTCTTTCTTTCTTTCTTTCTTTCTTTCTTCCTTCCTTCCTTCCTCCTTCCTTTCTCCCTCCCTCCCTTCCTTCTTTCTTTTGTCCTTCCTTCCTTCCTTTCTCTTTCTTTCTTTCTCTCTCTCTCTCACTTTCTTTCTTTCTCTCTCTCTCTTTCTTTCTTTCTTTTCTTTTCTTTTTTCATTTTGTGCTGGTTCTGGGGCTTGAACGCAGGACCTGAGCACTGTCCCTGAACTTTGATGCTCAAGGCTAGCACTCCACCACTTGCTCTTTAGGTGCACTCACAGTTTCTATTTTTTATTTTTTGGTGGTTAATTGGAGATAAGGGTCTCGAAAAACTTCCTTGCCCAGGCTGACTTAGAATCATGATCCTCAGATCTTAGCCTTCTGAGTAGCTAGTTTTCCTCTTTCTTCTCTTTGGCAGTTTTGGGATTTTGAAGTAGTTCCAGGGCTTGAACTCAGAGTCTACCACACTTTTACTTGGCTGCTTTGCTCCTGGCTGGAGTGCCAGGGTTTGGAACTGAGGGCTTTGCCTCATT